CATAGTCCTTGAGGTATATCAATCCCTGATGAAGCCCCCTTTCTTTTTCTCATCCCATCCCACCTCTCCAGTTCCAGACAATGCTCACAATGCCTGCCCAGACCTCCTCAATGCAAAACCCCTACTTTTCCTGAAGAGCTATTCCCATGGCTTCCTTCATCCAGGGAACTAATGGCACCACTACAGCTCTTTATATGAAAGGGGCAGAGAAGGAGCAGGAAAAGCACTGGTTTGCGGGCAGTTCTTTACTTATCTGCCCTGATATTCTATCCTCCCCCAAATCTTCTCCCTCTTCCTATACTATTTTCAGGAAAGAGTCCTACTAAAAAAATTCTCTGATTTCCATCATGCATCAGGAGCACCTATTTTGGATTACATTTTACTTGGTGCTGGTTTCTCAATCAATGTAATTCCAGCTGGGCATGGGGGCACACGCCTGTGATCCCAGCACTCTGAGGCTGAGGCGGGAGGATTGAAGTGAGCTCAAGGCCAGCCTGGGATACATAGTGAGTTCAACGCCAGCCTGAACTATATAGTGAGACCTTGTCTCTAAAAAAAAAAAATTCCAATTGCTTTTTTTTTTTGGTAACAGGGTTCAAACTCAGGACCTTGTGCTTGTGAGGCAGGCAAAGTGGCACTGAGCTAAATCCCCAGCCCCTCCAATTGCTTTTGAGCACCCTGAAATTTCTCAAAATTCCTGTTATTTTAACAATACAAATAATGATAGCAGTTAACATTAGCTCAACATTTGCTAAATGTAAAAGTCTCTCCTAAATACTCTATACAAGTTGTCTCTCTGGATCTTCACAATAACTCTATGACAGTGGTGGCAAACCTTTCAGAGACAAGTACCCAAACAGATCCCGAAACCCACCATTTTCACAAAGTTCCAACACTGCAATTAAACTGAATACTGAGGTTTTAGTTTAGAAAAAAATACTCAAATGTTAACATCTTTTGTCTTAAAAGAAAAGCAACATGCATGCCATAGGTTCGCCACCACTGCTCTATGATATAGGTACTATTACCGTCATCCTAATTTTACAGATAAGGAAACTGAGAAAAAAAGAATAAGCAACTTGCCCAAGGTCACATAATTGGCAAATGGCAGAACTTGTATTCAGACACAGTAATCTAGCTTTAAAGCCTCCCCTTTCTGTTTTTTTGGTTTGGTTTGGTTTGGTTTGGTACCAAGGATCGAACTCAGGACCTTGCGCTTGCGAGGCAGGCACAGTGCCACTGAGCTAAATCCCCGGCCCCCCTTTCTGTTTTTAAAATACAATTATGATTTATTTGTTGTCTTATATCTGTTTTATCATTTTCAATGCTATATGAGAAGAAGAGAAAAGTAAATGAGTACTTTTGGTCTATTATTTCATGATGGAAACACTTTCTACTACACCAGAATTGTTTGTACTATACCACACTTTTATGATTGAAATGCCACTTAGAAAAGATGCAGGATCTATAAAGGAATCTACTGACAGAAAAAAGGTCCTATGAAACTGTCTTCAACCATCAGCAGAAGTAATATAAAGGATTCCCAAAATGAGAGGCTTAGAAGTAGCTATTTCAAAAGTATAGATAAGTTAAAAAGAAAAATTAAATAATAGGATTTTCACCTTCTCAACAGTTCATTAGTTCACTATTACCACCACCAAAGAGAAGCTAAGAACATCTAAAATTTTAGACCCATCCTATTTCCTGACAGTGGCTTTCTTTTTTTTGGTACCAAGAATCGAACTCGGCTCCTTCTGCTTTCGAGGCAGGCGGCAGAACCACTGAGCTAAATCCCCAGCCCTGACAGTGGCTTTCTTAATAACTCAATTCAACTCAAATAAGTAAGAGGCACTATCCCACTGACCCTGCCCTTTCAGAGCTTACAGTCTAACAGGAAGCACAGAAAATAAAGAACACATGTAATTCTGTGCATGAAGTGCTGGTACAGGTAGGCACACAGAGGGTGCCATCGTAACACAGGGGACAGGCCTGGCAAGGAAATTTCCCAGGAAACAAATATTAGACTGGGTGTTAGAAAAAAAGAGGAAATAGGTCTGCCAAAGAGGTTTTTCAAAAATAACTTAGACTAAGTGTTAAAGGATAAGCTATCAATCATTTGCAAAATCAAACTGAATTTATCATATTTCCTACAACCTGCTCCTCTCTCCACCTGCATAATACCTGATGAAGAGCACTGTGGTCTATACAGAAAGCTTGAAGTCATTTCTGACCCTTTCCTCCTCGTCAGTTAGTCATCAAGTCTCATCTGATTGAATGTCTTCATACTTCAAAGTGATTCCCTGCTCTCCATTCCTACTACAACATCTTAATTGCAGACTCCATCATTTTTCACCTTGATAACCACAATGATCTTATATTTGTTCTTTCAATTAAATCTCTTTGCTGGCTAAAGAACCAAAAGCAGGTCCTGAAAACTCCCCTCAAGAGATGCACACTTGATTTGACCCTCACTAGCTTCCAGCCACCTCTGTCCCACAGTGCTGAACTTCATAAGAGCTCTGGAAGCATCAAGCCCAATTCTGCCTAAATACCTTTACTTAAGCTACTTGGTCTCTCTGGTTTGAGAGATTCCAGCCCTCCCTTGATAACACCCACTCAGCTTTGAGGCATGTCATTTTAGAAAAGTCATCCTGAGGGCCACTTCTCTTTCATCCTCATCCCTGCAAGCAGAATCAGGAACCTGTTCTGTGTGCTCCCATGCCACAATACCTCATCAGGGCACCAATCACAAAGAATGATGCTCACATTGTTCTGTAATGGTCTGTTTACCCCATTCTCTATAATCTATATCATCAAGCTAACAAAGTACCTGATACATAGGAAGCAATCAAGAAATACTGAATGAATGAACAAATGAACAAACAAGGATAGTTAAACCTGAGAAAGTTGATGAGGCAATTAAAGGAAGCATGGAGAGGACAGAAGAATGCCGGATAAGTACCCGGGTAAGTACTAGCAGGAAGATGCTAGTGAAGCAAACACAATAACAACCAAAGAGGTTGAAAAAAATACGTAGGATCATACAGTAATGCAACCCAAAAGAAGAGAAAAATTTAAGAAGGTGGTCAACAGCATCAAACACTACAAATAGGTCAAAGAAGGTGAGAACTAAGACAAGACTACTGATTTAAAGGTCGTCCTCAGAGACTTGGTTTTGACATTGCTAATCCTGAGTATGCACCTCCCTTGCTCTTCCCAGAACTGTCTAAGACCAGCTTTCTGAGCCATTGTTTGAATTTCAGGCTTACAAATAACCAGGGGTATGAAACTTACCTGTGCAATCTCTTTTTTTCCATGATTAAAACATCGAAAAGCAGAGAATATACAAAAGAAAATATTCATCCAGATATAATCAGTTATTTCATGATTTCCTTTGTTATGTTTATATTTTAATGTTATGATGCTGAATTCTATATCCTAATTAAACTATTCCCTTATAATGCTTATATTTAGTGAGCAGAACTATAATTAAAATAATTAAATAACATTAACAATATAATAAATTATAAAGCTTAATTTATTCTTCATGTAGCCCAAGTTAGATTTCTTTTTGTGAATCAATAAATTAGCATTTTAATTTATAAACAGAAGAAAAAAATGTTACAGAATTAGATATGCCTGCTTGGCTACATGTGCACAATGTGCTTTCTGTCATATACTACTAAAATTGCCCCTTAATTTTTAGCAATAACATTTATGCTAAAAGACGGCACACAACCCTTTTTTATTTTGGTACCGGGGATCAAACTCAGGACCTTGCACTTGCCAGGCAGGCAGGCAGGCAATGGCACCACTGAGTTAAATCCCCGGCCCCGTAAGTATCTAATTTTGATTAATTTAGGCCAGATTTTATTCTTTGCATGCTCTGGAACTTGGCTACTAAAAATAGGTTAGACACTAAATATAGAAACATCTATAGCAGCTACAGGACTTTTTCCTATGTTTTAATTTCTTTAGTTAAAATTAGACACAGTGGCTTATAAGCAATTTAATAAAATCTAAGTTACAACATTAAACATGCTTAACAGTTTGGTAGATCTAGAAAAATAGTGTGAACCAGAGTTTTCAATACTCTCCTGAGATTTTTTTTTCAATGTGGAGTATGTTTTGGTAGAAAAAGAAAAAGTAGGGAAGAAAGTGACATTTCTAAAAGTAAGAACTATTAGAAGTGTTAAAATAAATGTACCTACTGTATATTTAAAATAAAAAATAAAAGTAAGAACTGCTAGGTCAAAGGATATAAACATTTTAAGGTTTTGATATATTTTGCCAAATTGGATCCAGAAAGGGTATATAAAATTCACACTTTCTTCAGTATTTAAGCTTTATTTTTCAAAATCCTTGCCATCACTGGTATTATTTTTAGTCTTGTAACTCTAATAAGTGAAATATCTTATTGTTTTGTTGTTTTAACAATAGCAAAAATAAATATGTTTATATTTATTGGTGGTACTTCTTTATGAATTGATTATTCATATCCTTTTACTTATTTTTCCTATAAGTCATTTGCTTTAAACCTATTGATTTATAAGAGCTCTTTTTAAGTTCACGGCATTAACCATCTGTACAAGTATTTCCTTCTTTTTTATTTATAGTATTTGACATAAGAAATTTTTTAATTTTATATGATCACATAATTTAATCTTTTCTTTTTAAAAATAACACCTAAGAATTTTTCCACATTTATATTTTATAAATTATTCACTCAAAGTTCTTTCTAATGTGGTTACAGTGAGATACCACTGGATCAGTGAGATAATTTATTTCTACCAACTAATAGACATTAAGAGATTCTAACTTCCCCAAACTTAAAATTACAATTCCAACAATGGTCAATATGAAACTAAGTTCTAAACTTTTTAAAAACCAACTTTAGCTATTAAGACAACTTTTCAAATAACAGAGTTTGAGTTTAGAAATTCATTCAAAGTTCTCTTTAACCCATTCGAAGCACAGATCTCTTGCTAATTATCACCCACCTCTCAAAAACCTGTTAGGGATCCTTATGATGGGACAGGACTGAATGAAGCGCCTCCTAACTGGGTCCCATCGTATTTTCTTCTTACCTGTTACCACAATTATCAGCAATAAGTCAGACACATATAGCACATGGCAAATAATACATAGTTATTGTAGTTATAAAGACAGAAAAACAGAAAACAAAACAATACTTGAATACAGAAAGGAAATAATGTAGCATTTAATTCTGTTTTGGAGGTTAAACTTAAATTAATATATAAGCAGTGATGAAGGTGTTCAACTTTTATCCCCAAAAGAATAGAATTAATGTGCACCATTTTTTCATGATTGTGATTCAAAAATATGTGTACTCAATAATCACCAATGCCATCTTGTGGCAAAAATTCACCAAGAGCTTTACAAACATAAGAAATAATGACATTTTAAGTCAGCGAATGTCAAAAAAGGAGCTCTACCCCAAACTAATTGAGTATAACATAGGCTCTTGTTCTCTTCAAGGCTTGGTATTCTTTTATTAGCTATAAAGCAATGGGCACCAATCTTTAAACATGAAAAAAAGCTGATCTTATTAAAATTATATGACAGCAACCAAATAAAACAAACATTTACTTACTATCTTGGTACTTCCATGGGGCGGAGAGGGGAGTTCATCTGCCTTCCCAGGAAGCAAATTAACTCCACATTAACCCAAATTAAAACTTGTTTTCTTATAAAACAGAAGAAAAGTGCAATGTATTTATGGAACTATTAAATGGAGTGAATTGTCTCTCTTCCAAAGTACTGATAGCTCCCAAAGACAGCTCTTATTGACAATAAAAACATGTTTGTATAGCATTAAGTTTACTAAGAGCTTTCATACATATTACCTTATATAATTCTAACAACAATCCTGTATTGATTCAAGTCATTTTATTAAGCACCTGCTATGCATGAGCCCCTATGCTAGGACCTATGGTTGCAAAAGGATATGACTCCTATCCTTAAGAGCTCATCCTCTGATAAGGAAGGAAGATGTGTAAACAATTGAATTGTAGTGATGTAACTGCTATAACGAGGGCTATAAAACCACCCTGAAGAAGATATTACCATCATCATTTTATAAGGAAAATTAAGTGACTGAATGCCAGAATCAGGATTCAAGCCTAGGCATTCTGAGTCTAAAATACTCTGTCTTAATTCCCTGAAAAGAGAATAGTTTTTAATGGTGGCCTTTGGAAATATAGTCAGGTCTTAAACAAGGTCTAGTTTGCTTACTATAGAACTTGTACCTGGAGATACACAAATTCTGTGTAATGAAATGACATACCTACACATGCACAGTTAATATCGTGGGAAAGACGGACTTATGAGTAAGAAGGAGAATTATTAATCTTTCAAAGGGTTTATGTTTTAATCCTCTAAATTCTTTAAACCAGTGGATCCCAAATGTTGGTCTACAGTCCACTGCTGGGGTAAGGTGAAGATTCTCAGACCAATACAAAATGAAAAAAATATGAGTAGTGAGTTTTTCAAAAATCTAAAGTTTTCTCTTCAAAGGCCTATCCTTTTTTCACAAATTAGAAACTTTTTATTGTTAAATATTCTTTATGAGATGATAACAATAGAAAATGGTAATTGGTTTTTTTAACATCCTTTCTTGGAAAAATACAAATTTTGCAACCTTATATCTATATTTCTTTTTTTGATGTCAGGTTTATGACATCCAAAAATCTGGAGAACCACTGCTTTGAACCAACGTGATATGTGTTGATATCTACTGAGTCCAGCATGGGCAGCCGTACTGTCAGAGGGTACATAAGATGTATAAAGACCTCCCTCATCCTCAAGAAGCTTATATTCTAATTAGGAAGACAAGACAGACACATAAAACAATTAGATAGCAATATAAGACAGACTATAACAAGTGATTAGCTTAAAACTTGACATTTTGATGTATCAAAAGCGTTAAAATGTACATACCCTTTGACCCAGCTATTCCACTTCTAGGAATCTATTCCTAAAGAAACAATCATAGATGCATGGAAAATTGTATGGACAAAGATATTAACTATGGTATTTATATGGCAAAAATTTAGAAATAATTTCAATATCCAATGATAGAGATGACTATGTTAAATAGACATACTTAAATATGTTCATATTCTACACACTTCTTAAAAAGTATATCAGGACTATTAACATGACAAAACGTTCACATATACTGCAAATGAACAAGTTACAAAATAGTATTAGAAGTATGATACCATTTTAGTAAACAAAAAGTATATATTCATGAAAAATACATGAAGGACATACATCAAATTTTAACTGTGGTTATCTTTGGGTGTGTTTTGTTTTTTCCTCGTTATGGTCTTTTTAATTCCAAGATTCCTCTTTGAGTAGACATTAATTTTGGACTAGAAGAAAAATAATACCCTATTACTTAAATTTGTTTAAAGTATGATTTTTTAAAAGTACTAGAAAGAAACCAGTGTTTCAAAGTGATGCCAAAGTGTTAACAGTAGTTATGATTTGGGTTGTGGTAATTAGCCCTTTTATACCATTTAAGAATCCATATGGAATCTAAAACTACTTTAGAATAACATTGAAGAAGTAACATTGAAAACTACTGAACCAAAGCCATAATCAAAGATCCTTTTGTGGGCTGGGTGCTGCCCAGCATGTACAAGGCCCAGGTTTGATCTCTAGTACCACATGAGGAAAAAAAGATCCTTTTTTGTTTTCTCAGAGCTTCTGTCAAACATCTTTGGCACGTATCTCTCTCAATAACCAACAGGACTCTGTCAGAGCACAGGTTAACACTGACTCTGTGGAGGTTATTCAGGTAAAGTGGGTACTTCGAACCCATGTGTTCTTCCTTCACCCAAAGAGCAGGAAAAAGTGAAACCAGCAACACAGCAGTGTAACACTAACAAATGTGTATTTATTTACTTTTTATTTTTGAAGAAACATATGCCTCTTCAATTTCATGTAAGTATACTCCTGATCTGAACTTAAAACTTAAGGTTTTCATTCTTTCATTCTTATACATTCAAACTGCCAATCTTCATTAGTGATTGCTTAAAAAGAAATCTTAAAAATGAAAAACATAATTTCTTCAATGATTTCATCAAATTTTGCTAATTTAAAAATTTTTTTCCTTCTTTTTACTAAGCTTACTTCACTGTAAACATAACATACATAGTCACTGACTGAATGAAGATGGTAGCTCAGCACACTACAAGCAAACTCACCTTCCCCAAGTCTTAGAAACCATCTTAAGAAAAAATTGAAAATAATCAAAAGAAAGAAATGCTGTAGGTCAACTAGAGCTATGAGGAATGACTAAAAGATGAAAAGCTGGTAAAATCAGACTAAAGTAGAAAATCAAAGTCCTATACTCTCAGAGTAGTGAGCTAGGTCAAGAGGTAAGGGAGAAGTCTTCAAGGTAAACTAAGTGCAGACTTGGAAGACAGCAGGAAGAACTGAAACAAAATTTACAGCATGACTGAGTGGAGCTAGCATAGAAATTACACAAGGTTGTATTCCCAGGTAGGAATAATGAATATGAACACTTGGATCAGAGAGACAAAACAGAGGCCTGTGTGGACGTTAACATTCAGGCCAAATAAATGACAACTACACTAAAGAAGACTGGCAACTGGTACAGCTCATCACATGTTCACTGTCCTCTTACCTCCACCCACAATCAATGAGGACCTGCTACAATAAACAGATGCAGCTTCACAGGAACACCAACAAGGACTTTCAAATAAGGATGAATGAGCATAAAACCAAGGCTCAAATATGAAAAAGCACAAACTACATCAATGTTAAGTACCAGAGAGAATTAAGCATTATCTGTCAAAATTCCAAATGATACTTTTTTCCTTGCAGAAATGAACAAACTAATCCTAAACTTCATATGGAAATGTAAGGAACTCAGAATTCCACAACACTCTTGAAAAAAAAAAAAAAACTAAACAGGAAGACTGTTTGAAATCATTTCCTGATTTCAAAACTTAATAAAGATAGACACAATATTCAAAACACTGTGACACTGGCGTAAGGATGGACATAGAGATCAATGAAATAGAAGTGAGGGTTGGGAAGTAATCCCAAACATCTATGACCCCTCAATGTTTGTCATGTGTGACAAGACTACTCAGTGAGAAACGAACCATCTTTTCAACAAGTGATCCTGGGACACCAAGACATACTTTTACATCTAGAATTCTATTCCTACTCAAATTCTTTTTTTTTTTTTTTTCTGTACTGGGTATCGAATTCAGGACCTTGCCCTTGTGTGGCAGGCGCCGGAACCACTGAGCTAAATGCCCGGCTCAAATTCTTAAGAATTCATGTATGAGAGTGAAAAAAATACATTTTTGGATGTACGAAGACACTAAAAGTTTGCTTCCCTCAGATTTCTGATAAAAGAATTACTCAAAAAGGGCTGGGGATTTATCTCAGTGGTTCCACCACCTGCCTCACAACCAGAAGGACCCGAGTTCAATGCCCGGTACCCCCCCCAAAAAAAGAATTACTCAAAGATACATATCTGGAATAAAAAATAATCCAAGAATAACAAAGCACAAGAAAAGAGTAAGCAGAAAAAACCTTTAAGTTTAAATAAGCACTGTCAGGTGGAGGTGGGAATGAAACAAAGTCTTACTAACATTCAAAACAACAATCTCAAGGGCCAGGGATTTAGCTCAGTGGTTCTGCTGCCTGCCTCGAAAGTGGAAGGTCCCGAGTTCGATCCCCGGTACCAAAAAAAAAAAAAAAACCCAAAAAACAAAACAACAATCTCAGGTGGTATCAGCAGAATTAACTGCAGAGTGAGAAGAAAGCTGGGAGAAGGGAAAGTAGAAGAATGTTATCACCTTTGTTTTTGTTCAAAATACAAAGTATACAGAAAGTGAAAATATAGATAGTGATTGAAAAATATTAATTTAGGTATTATGTTAAAAATTTAAGGATACTAGATGGTTGCAATGGTGAACTTCTCCAAGCATTTAATGAATATTTATTAGCTGTTCTACACAAATACCTTCAGAGAATAAAGAAATTCATTTATGAGACTAGTATAACATATCAAAATTAA